TAATGATTCATTAATGATCTGGATGATGCAGCACAGTGCACCCCCAGCAAGTTTGCTGATAACACCAGACTGGGAGGAGTTGTTGAGATGCCAGAGAGTCGTGCTGCCGTCCAGAGGAACCTTGACGAGACGGAGAAATGGGCCAACAAGGACCTCATGAAGTTCAACAAGGAGAAGTACAAAGTCCTGCCCCTGGGGAGGAACAACCCCAGGCGCCAGGATGTGCTGGGGACCACCCAGCTAGAAAGCTGCTCGGCAGGAAAGGACCTGGGGGTCCTGGTGGACATCAGATTGACCATGGGCCAGCAAAGTGCCCTTGCTGCAGAGAAGGCCAATGGTATTTGCTTACCACGCAACAGCTGCGTTAGACAAAGTATTGCCAGCAGGTCAAGGGAAATGATCCATCCCCATTTACTCAGCACTGGTGAAGCCACACCTGGAGCACTGGGTCCAGTTCTGGGCTCCCCAGTACAGGAGAGATATGGACAATACAGGACAGCGTCCAACAAAGGGCCACAAAGATGGTGAAGGGACTGGAGCATCTCTGCTATGAGGAAAGGCTGAGAGAGCTGGGGCTGTTCAGCCTGGAGCAGAGAAGGCTCCGGGGGGGGCCTCATCAATGTCTGTAAATCCCTGAAGGGAGGGTGCAAAGAGGACAGAGCCAGGCTCTTTCCAGCGGTGCCCAGTGACAGGAGAAGGGGCAATGGGCACAAACTGAGACACAGGAGGGTCCCTCTGAACATCAGGAAATACTTCCGACTGCGAAGGTGACCAAGGACTGCCAAAGGTTGCCCAGAGAGAGGTTGTGGAGTCTTCATCCTTGGAGATATTCAAAAGCTGCCTGGACATGTTCCTGGGCTACTTGCTCTAGGTGGTCCTGTTTGAGCAGGAGGTGGGCCCAGATGACCTCCAGAGGTCCCCTCCCAACCTCAACCACTCTGGGATTCTGTGAAGAAGACCGTGCCATTTGTCAGGTTTAGGAATGCAAAAATGCAGATTTGAGTCTTCAATGGTTGTTAAAGGATGCAGAAGAAAACTGTTTTTATCTCACACTCAAACAAGCGATACTGCTGGGTTGCTGCGAGGAAGGAGGGAGGAACGCTATGTTGAGCTACGATGAGACCTCCAGCAAAAGGAGGTGCAGGTCGGCTTCCTGGAGCAGGACAACAAAGCCGTAGCAAAGTAACGAAGAACTGCTATTGTAAACGTGAGAAAGGACGGCGACACTCAACACCAATAGGTATTTGGAGAAAGATGACAGAAAAAACAACAATTTTGGGAAAAACGTTTCTTAGCTATGAAGTAACTGAAGAGCAAGCTAATAGAAATCGTAAGGACCACATTTTCCTGGATGTGATATCGCTGCCAGACTTCTTCACAAAAATGGTGTCTCAACCAATAAGCGCTGATGCTATTTTAGACTTTGTTTTGGCAAGTAACAAGGACATTAAGAAGAGCTGGTGATATAAAATTACCTTGGATTGAGTGCACACAAGAAAATTCATATTAAATTAAGGATAAAACGAGGTAAGTCTTGTAAGAGAATCAAAGTTCACCCTTTTTAACTATGAGAAATTAAATAAACCAGTAAAATCAAGTGGACTAAGGAGATAAGAAATGGGAAAGCAGCCATCTAAGTATTTCTCTCAGGTCAAAGATACAAAACTATTTGAAAGCTGTATCAGAACTAACCTCAAAAAGGACATTAGGAACAATTAAAGAGTCTACGTGTTATGGAGGGGAAAGGATTATTAGCAAGAAGCCAGCAAGCAGTACGGAGAAAAAATAAGAACTGCCAAATGTCAAGCTGTGCTAGACCTCAGCAAACGATAAACAAAATAGCAAGAGATGTTTCAGCTGCACAAGTAAAGGAGACCAGAAAGGGAAAGGGAAGAGAGTATGCTGTACGGATAGGCAAGAGATTAAAACCAATCAGCTGCATCCCTAAAACTAATTTAGAGTTTTCATTAAGGACAAGGACACTGAACATAGGAACAAGGCAAAGCGTTGAATGGGAATGAGGTTATAAAAAGATACACAACCAAGGTGGAGAAAAAACCCAAATGTTTCCATGTGTTCAAAGTCAGTGGAAGCAGACAGCATGCATCCTGGCACTCCGCAAGAAATGGCACATGAAATAGCACTTCTGGGAGCAAGGCTGTTAAAGCAATCTAGCAGCCGAGCGTGGCACCATGGAAAAGTTAAAAACTTGTATTTAGAGGAGATGGGAGAAGCTAGACATTCACACTCCCAAGACCTCAGTAGTATGCAAAGTTTCATGACAAGTTTTGAATAAAAGAACGGAAGTAGTAAATCATGGAATAGAATCACAGAATCATTTAGGTTGGAAAAGACCTTTAAGATCATCAAGTGCAAGCATTAACCTAACACTGCGAAGTCCACCGCTAAACCATATCCCTAAGCACCACATGAAATGAAATGAATGAAAATGAAATAATGACAAATAATGGAATAATGAAAAATATTCAATGAAATCATGAAAAACTGAGTTCAAGAAGCAATAGACCTAACAACGGTAAACTGTGATACGCCAGCTCACTATTTTCTGTCTGTACAAATAATTAATTGTATAGACCTAGGAAGTACAGCTTAGCTAATCCAAATTTCATTATGGCTTTAGAATCTTTAAATCATAGAATCTTTTAGGTTGGAAAAGACCTCTAAGATCATCAAGTCCAACCAGTCTTCAGGACTGGCAATATTATCCAGTAACAGCAGCAGGATAGCATTTTATGATGCTATTAGCGACTGAGAAGAATGTTCGCTATCAAGGCTGGGAGCTCATCAGTTGGAAATCAAAGATGTGAAAGAACAGGGTATATTAGGCCACATTAAAGTGAATAAGGACTATTAATTGCTGCAGCCATGAGAACGAGCAAAGCAAAATACTGCCGTGAAAGGACCTAGAAAGGTCCATGAAGAGCCTCGAGATAGCGCTGCACAAAGCAATGGTGAGACCTGATCTCCGTGAGCTTATACATGGCTGACCAAAACTGTACAGGCGAGATTAATAAAAGTCAGCGCGGAGGACAAACAAATGAGGCAACTGAACCTGAATAACCTGTGGGGTTATTGGGACGAGATGAGGCAGGTTTGCCTTGCTTAAGCCAAAAAAGAAACACTAAAAGCTAAGAGAGGATATGACCTGTCGAAATTCATCCAGGGAAAGCAGGAGACCCAGCTGCTGAACAAGATGGAGGGGACATTTAAGCTCGATGACAACACTGGCATAGGAAAAGCCAGCAGAAATTCGCCGTAAGTACAGGTAGGAGTAAACACAGGAGAGCTTAAGGGACAGGAGACAGCACTGTTCTTAAACATCTACGAAGTCCTAACACACAGCTCTGCATCAAGAAAAAGCAAAGCAAATAATTTAGGGTAGGTGCAGTCCAGCACTGATTACGGAAGGTAAACTATCAGTCAACATATAACCTGTAAGTTAAAAGATACAATACGCATTTTTTTCTGACTCCTGCGATTACCAATTTGATAAAAGACTGCAGATTTAAATAAATCATTACGCAAGTGCCCACCTTTGAAGGTAGCACCTTACTTTCTCTACTGAAAGCTGTACTTCCTTATTTTAAATGAAAACGATGACGCTCAGTACTTGCTGCTTAAGTATCCAATGACATAAAGGTTTTACCTTGCAGCTCTTGCAAACTGCTCCGCATCTAAAAATTAAGACTTGACAATGAACTAAAACTTTACCAATTTGTAAAATAAAAACTCTCCAGCTGGAAAATGATTACCTATGTTGGGAGTGGTATTAAAAAGAACCAAAAATGCAGTCCAAAGTCAGCCTCACAAATCTACCAGTCTGGAATCAAGACGACAAAATTTGCAGAGTACTTAAAACCCACCGTCTTTACCAGAAGGAGATGCAGACATTTCACAAGTATCTCCAATATTTTTTTAAAAGTTCAGGAAATACTTCGAAAAATATCACTACAGATTAAGGACTTTTTTTCCAGGTGGACCTCATTCCCTTGCTTAATATCACCATGCGCATTATCTTTGTTGGAAGTGACCCCTACGGTGAGTTTGTATAACTCGTATGTCTGAAATACCAAGTAAATTAATGTGAAGTTGTCAGTTTTCACATAACAATTGGTCGAATAAGGGTGAAGATGGAAGAATTCAAGTTCCCACATTTGACCAAGCTTCTTAAAAAAAGGCGGAATTCAACTATACAGAGCCTCATTTGAGATGTCTGTTCCAGACCTAGAAGTCCTTTTGTCCTTCAAAGGGCGCCCGTATCACTCCGAGCACACTGCGGGTTGATACCTGACTTAGCCCAGAGCAAGAAGGTGGCCAAGGTTCCTCTGAATTATTTATTAGCTGCCACAGCAGTTGCAGAGTTTCTGTGATTGCAGTCTGCGATCTATGAGTGCTTTCACGATCCACAAAGCTCCATCCACCGCTTCTCCAGCACTAGCCTTATCAGCGCAGTCAGCCTGACACCCGAGGCAACGTGTGTGTTAACTGACTGCACCGAATTAGGGGAAAGAATGAGCTACATCGGATTCTGCAGGTACCACTGGTCTTGGGGAAAAAAGGAGAAAGGGGGACGGTCCTTGAGCTGTGCCTTTTGAGAACAAGACATTAAGGAGAGACACTAAGAACATTTCCTTTGTTTTCTCATTCTGGGCTTGGTTTCTGGCTATATGAGTCTTTGTTTGCTTCAACATCATTACCTACACATTTCAAGTTAGAGCTCATTAGAACATAGCCCTATTAATAGGCGAGTATCCCACTTTATTTCACAGCGCGTTTTTAGATCCACTGGGCTGAGGCAACATCAGAAGATGACGCAACTTCTCGCTCTTAATCGGGAACATCAAAACTCTTTGTCTGCTGCAGGATTCTATTGAGAGCTGGTTCAGCTTGGGCAACACAAAGCACACCGAACTACCACATTGCTTGAGAGAAAGAAAAAAGTACTTTTAAATAATTACACACACATTAAGAGCTCCTACCTGTATTTTTATCGGCCAGGTGAAATTGCTGACGTAAACAAAGAAAGTGATGTTTGGATTGTTGCGGAAATCAAATTTCTCATTGGAGAAACTGTCCTTGTATTCTTTTACATTGGTTCTTGAAACAACAGGAATTTCCTCCCCAGCCTGTGTGCCAGCTGTTTGCAAACGTTAAAAAGTAGCAAAAAAAAAAAAAAAAGCATTGAAACATCAAGTGGCAAATGAAAAGGGCAAAGCATCCTGAATTTTTATGTAACAAAATTAACTATTCATCTGAACACTATTATTTTAAGCTGCATTGCATTATCAAAATCACTGTATGCCAAAATACTGCATTACTGAAAATCAAATTTGCACCTTCAATATTTCCAAAATACACTATGAAGGTAGAAAAACATAGTTGTTTTTTAATATTTTACTTCTGCCCCCCTCAGACCCAACATTTAAACCCATTACAGAACAAGTTCATAGGTTAAAAAAAAGTTTCCCTAATTAAATGTGCATTTGTTGAAAACTGGTAACTGAAACAAGCTACCGAGAAACTTCGATCATGCTCATTTTACCTGCAAAACTTGTGGACCAAGTAATGTTGAGGTTGAAGTTTTTAGAAGCATTGATAAACATGTCCAGGTCTCTGTTTTGCTAGGGGAAAAAAAAGAAAACTTATTTTTAGGATATCACTTTTACTGTACTGTTTCCTAGCAAATCTTCACTGAAAAAAAAATCTTTGAATTTGTAATTTACATGAAGCAAATATACCAAGCGAAAAAACTATTTACATTTTCTGAAAGCAGTATTCTCTTCCCCAAGGAAAGCATAATAAAGAACAAAACCAGTCACATGCATAGAATAAACCAGGAAGAATAGAGATGTAACATATTGGGTAATTAATCGTTCTAACAACGAACTGTAACAATTCATCCCCTCCATGGCCAAGAGAAGACAAACGTATACCCAAAGGATGAAGTTGAAAGGGAAAGTAGCAAATTTACCTCTTCGGGTGTTGCGACAAAGTTGATTGCTGTGTAATAGCGATCATCCTCTTGAGAAAGGCTGAAGGTGAACTGATAGTCAATGAGAAGAGTATCTGTAAGGAACGCATGGAGAAAGTTACCCCGTGTCTTGGAATAAAGCAAACTTGTGCAAAGCAAGGCATGATGTCACTGAGAGTACAACTAGGAACCACCATGCCGTTACAAATGACTCCAACCTACGTACGATCCCATGCAAAAGGGACGGGCTCTCGTCTTTTTAAGTTGAGCCTAGAGCGGGGAAAGAGGCGGCTTATGTTTTCCAGGCAATAGCCTGCAGCCTTCAGCTAAATGAATGTTCGTGTCTATACGCTGTAAAAACCCATGCCAAGACATTTACTTCTTCCATACTGCAATACCTCTACGTTCTAAGGGAATACTAGAAAAATGAAACAGATGTGTAATCCCCACTTGGGAGGGGGCAAAGTTCCATGCATGACAAGTTTCTGTCCATCAGTGAACTGTACAGGGAGGATTTCTACAGAGCAGCTGCTTGTTAACGACCCAGCTGCCATCCTACTCTGGGTGACACCATGTCCAGGCATGCCAGGGCCAGTTTTTGGTCTACCTGTCTGCCCAGGGCTGGGGTATCGCCTCTCTGTTAATCGACGGTGCGGAGCCAGTTTTGGGATACACCCACCAGTCCCAGTATCCTTTTATTAAACCACAGCATTATGACTTGTACATATTCCCGAAGCTGTGCAGAGATATTCCGAGCAATAATAAATACAAAGCTATTTTTCTTATTTTTCACTTATTGCCTCGTGAAGACCCCTTGTTGGAGAGACATGAGCAAGGCAACCTTCTGATCTCTACCCACAACTATGAAGCACTAAGAAATTTTCAAGGTAGAAGCAAACCACGTGAGACAGAATCTGTATAGCACGAGGTTGTTCCTCTAAGAGTTGTAAAGTTCTGTCTTTTCCCCCTTTTTGCCCACTTTACCACCCCTGTCACTGGCAGCAATGAATTAGGTCATCCTTGCAAAGAGACTGCCACGAGAAGCCATCAGTGCCCTTGTTTGGTTACGCAAGGAGAACTCAAGTTTGCTAAATACGGCACGTTGATAATTTCCATGTTGTACAAAAACACTATTTGAGACTTGCATCTTTATGTAATTTAAGATTACATCTATCTGTGCCTGCCAGTGTGCTGATTGCTAATATTTGCAAATAGAGGCTGGAGAGTTTCCATTAAGTAATCTGAATCTTGGCAAAGTATCTTCTCGAATTGCACGGGAATCCAACTGTTCATTTCTGTGGAAACGCGGCAATTTGGAAACCTTACCCATTCTACCACGGAACAGAATTGAAAAAAAATAGTATTTTGCACTTTCAAAACTTCTAAAGACATGCTTTGGTTTTGACTTATTAGGTATATATTTTAGAGTATTCTTCGGAAGAGTAGATTTCATTTCAAAGTCACGTGAAAAACATTCAAAAGTTTTTTCTGAAAGATCCAATCATCACACAGACCTTATCAAGAAGAATATTTTCATTCTCTTCAAACAATACTTTTGTAAAAACTGAAGTTTTTTAAACCTATTTTTTTTAGTCCTTCCCTTAATCCCCTATATTTTAAACAGATGCTGATGCAACTACAACTAGTTTTAAATAAGATATTTTAAACTTCAAACACATTTTTAATCTCCAAATAAAATCCCAAGAGTACTCACAGTAACATGTTCCTTTGAGTGGATTTCCCTGATATCTATTTTCGACTTCACACCTAAAAAGAACACATATTTTTTCAATAAATGGATTTTTTTTTCAGTTCTATTTATTCCCAGCCACTAAAATAAAATAATCAGAAAACACCACCTGCGCCGATAACTGTACACAATTAAAAATAAAAGATGCATGTCTGAGCTATGCTGGGCTGCTGAAGAAATTCCACCATCCCTGCAAGTCAAACTAGTAGGCAGTAAAAATGAAATGTAAAATTCTGGATATTAACCTTTGCATCTACTTGGAATGTATTTATTAGCTCTTCACAATGCATGGAGCTGGATTACTACAGTCAAAACCTAAAGTTTCGATTTACATTTACGGCTACTCCAGTATCTAGTCTTATAAACGTTTACTCATGTGAGCAACATTTTAAAAATAAACCTGGCAATGAAATTATTTGGAATGAAATTATTTCCACTAACATTACACTAAAAGCATTTCTGTAATGTTACAGAGAAATCTCCAGCAAATTTCTTGCTCTGAAACTGCTCCATTAAAATGCTTGAATGTCAAAGTCTTATTTCAGATATATTTACACTCCCCCAGAACAGCATCAGAGTGCACAGACAGTAAAAATCTACCAATTAAAAAGAAACTATTGAGGGATAAACCAAAATGGTTCGTATAGGCTGGGGGATGGGGGCATTATTTCCCCCCACACCCCACCCCTTCTGCATGACATTCCCAGTTGAAATGTTCTTAAAAATGGAAATCTTCGGGAAATCATTTTGTTCATGTTATCCCCCCAGGGAAAGCATGGCTGGCTGCACCGTCAATGAAGTTAGTCAACTGTCAGCAGGATGAGATGAGCAGAGACATCATAAATACAATCATTAAAAAAAAATGTAGGGGTTCCATGCCAGTACGTGCATGGCCTTTTGATTTCAAAGAACAAAGTGAAACGAACTCACAGTTGACACTCGTCTCCTTTTATTCCCTTGGTGGTGCAGAAACATTTCCCTGAATTTGTGTTGCAGACGGACGCGTGGCCGTTGCACTTGCAAGCTGTTGAACAGAGCGGGGAGAAAGATGCAATGTTGAATGAAGCAAGAGAAACAGATTCGATAGCAATTAAGTCCTTTAGTTGCCAAACTGAGATACATCAACAAATAAAGTGCATATGAAAACCCATTTGGTACTCTTTGGTTTCTTTGTGATACAGAAGGCAGCCACAAATAGAACTGTGCGTCAAAGCGGAGTGAGTGCGGGCTTCAGGACTGATGTTTTGTATGAAATCATCTTCAGACTGTGCTTTTTAGCCTCAAAAATTTATTTTACTTCCTCTCTTGTTGTTAGATAGCACTAGGCATATCACAACTGGTAAGAAAAAGACAGAATTTCGAATAGTTTTGGGCTGGCTAACGCATTTCAAACTCACGACTCTTGAGAGAAGACTATTTTTGCAAACAAAGCAAAGCTTGTGGTGCTTTCAGGGCTTTTTCTAGAAATAAATAAGCTTTTGAGAAAATAACGTCATTACCAACAATATCAGCGTATCTGCAGCGTACAAGGCTGGTGCTAAGAATACGATGTCCGTACTACTGTAGGTGGTTTGGGGTCCGTGCCCCAATATATTTTTGGAATAGCTTTAGCCACCGAGTCGTGGCTGAAGCAAGTCAGCACGCCCCTAGACCACCTCAGGTTTGTGGCATGCCCAAAACAGACCAGCTCGTACACTCTGAGCCTGTTCGAGATGCAAACCAAGGTATGACAGTGGGGACGTATGGGAGATTTTGCTTCAAAAGTTTGCTCCTGATTCCAACTGAAATGCTAACGTTGACGTACTTTGAGACCTTTATTCATAAAGAAGTAAAGGAGGTACATGCAAAAAAAACCCCAAACCAAACCAATAAACACCACCACAACCAACACAAGCAGTTGTCTTTGATATAATCTTCACTGAACTAACAGAAAGGATAGAATAACTTTTCCCAGAAGGTAGGTGCCTTTTAGAAATTGTTCTACCACTGAACTGGAAGGTGCATTCACCTGGAGCTGTGCAGGGGAGAGTGTACAACATAAGAAGGGAAAAAATTACACAAAGAGAAGATCCCTCACGTGTGGTCCCTGAACTTGCTGGAAAGAGTATACTTCAAAGGCTGGTGCCTCCTCGTTAAGATGACATATGCCTTCTCATTAAGATGACATACGCCACTCAATGCACCAGCAGGTTCTTAGGCATGAAGTCTCCATCCTGAACATCCTTGCCAACCTTGGACCTTATTTTATGAATCTTTTTGATATCTTCTTCATATTGGCATGTAATGGAAGCTATATTCTATCAGGGACAGTTAATTGTGCTTCTCGGATGTGGATGAGTGGTTTCCTAGCAGCAACACGGAACAAAATATGAAGAAGCATAAAGGCCTATTGTGGGAACAAGTAGACTGAATGAAGATTTGACAAAATAATTGTATTCTGTGAAGCAAACACACTTCTCATTAGTGGCACTTGAAAAAGAATAATTTTTAATACTATTGAGAATGCCTTGTACTGCCTTCCTTCTGCTTTGCAAAAGGTAAGCAAAGTGAAATTCCAGCAATATTCAACACGAACATACATAAAAAATTAGGAGAAATTCCAATTTCACGTTGTTTAGATGCAAATCGCAGCATCTTGAGTGCTAACATTAATGCTTCCTCACCCTGCTCATTAGCCACATGCTCATCGAGAAGACTGAACACGCAAACATCTTTCTTTAAAACAGCAGAGTCTTACTTTTTTATCCATTTCCCTATAAGCCCCGTAACTGGAGATCATTCACTAAAGGACCGGAACGTACACAAAGAAGAGGAATTTTCTCATGGCTTTTCAGACAACTATGAAGTTTGGAAACAAACTATCGACAAAACATACTAGACACCCTCGCTGGAATTTCAAGTTTCCCTCCAGAGTCTGATGCTAATGCAGAAAGCCAAAATTATTGGAAATGGCTTTTTGACTGTGAAGCATGGTAACAGTCTAATGATGAACCACCTTCTTCACAAACCATGGGTCACAGACTCGTTCAGAGATAGCCGCGGGGGATCTCCGCTCCTCTTCCTACATTTGTGATGGTCCAGCTTCCCAACAGCAACTGCATCCCCCACCTGCCCAACACCATTTTTCCATGCCAAGCGCTTTAGCCGGCCTCCGAGGCCCCCGTGCAGCCCCGGGAGCGGGGAGCAGGCAGGACCACGGCACCGGCAGCTCACCGTGCGCCACCAGCGAGCGCTCCACGGAGGCGTTCGGAAGCACTGCTGCAGCGGCAATCTGATTTCAGGCATAATAGTGCCTTCCGTTCTCTTGCAAATAACTTTCTTATCTACTGCTAGCATATTTTCATATGAAACTTTAATCAGAAAATTTAAAAAATCCTGAATGCAGAGAAAGCACCTTGCAGCTATTTTTACATTTGATGGGCTGCATTTCCTGCCCTTCCCGATTAATACTTCTTTACATCGGACACTTCCTAAAAGCAACCGCTGAGGAGTGATTTACCCACCATTTAGTTATTATCTGCCCAGCTCCGCAAACACCAATACCTATGACGATACGCGAACAATTCTTTCAGAGAAATAACTGCAGTTTGTCAAGATTTTTTTCAACACAAGCGATATAGGAGTGTTCGTCTGCCCTGGTGGCACAGAGCAGCAGGAAAAGGCATCTTATTTCATCTGCTCTTTTTATTCCTCCCTGGCTTCTGGACCCCGTCGCTACCACTTCCAGCTCTGCATAGCCTTACCTGTTTAAAAGGCAACTACAATCCTAATAGCGTCGCTCAAACTCCTGATGGCTCAGCAGAATGGAAATACTAAACACTACCACTTTTCCCAGCACTGAATATTTGTCATTTTGAGGATATTTATGGTCCCCATGCTGCTGGGGCCATATCAGAGTACAAGGACTCGCTAAGCGTGCAAACGCACGGATGCTTGTGCAACAGGATGGAGTTGCACCAACAACCATCTCCAGCACGTATGTGACTGCTGGCTCTAAAACCAGAGCGGCACGCAACGTTGCACGGAAGCGGCACATCACTGACGGGGAAGGAAGGAGGGACCAGGGCTCAGAGGAGGGAAAAGCAGGAGCTGGCTCTGCTGCCCGTCAGCCGATCCTCATCTCAAAAATTCCCCTCCGGAAACCTTCTCACCAAGCAAAAATTACTACCGGCCAGCATCGCTCTGGCTGCATCAGAGAGGACGATCTCCTCGTGCTTTCCCTCTTCCAATCCACCTTGGTCTTTCTGCTCAGCTTCCTGCTTCCCTCCCTCTCTCGCCTTCACAGTAAATAGCGTTAAATCACAGCAAATTAAAAACCTGGGCCCAAAGCACTTGAGAGCAAAGCACTTTTGACATGAGCTACTAGTTTCATCAGATAACGAATGAATGCTGTTCCACAGTCTCTCAACACATTTTCTAATTTCTTTTTCAGGCATCTGGATGACTTTAGTCTATCATTCGTTATCTCAACAACAAACTATTTTTGGACAATCCTCATGAGAAAAAGTCCAAAGTAACTTACTCTCAATTTCCACAAGCATAGAAAAGCAACAAATATCCAAAGGCACGTTCTGATCCAATGATTAAACCTGAATGCTCAGAGTAGAATTATACATTTTCTCAGGCCAACTCAGTCTCAATTTATTCGTTCCTGCACTTCAAATTATCTTCACATGAAATGAGTTTAAGAATATCAGCGGTATTTAATCTCACAGATAATGTTCTGAAATAAAGTGTCAGAGATGCACCTTTCCCTTTGTACCTGTGCCGTTGTGCTGTCTGTCATGATTTCAGATCCCAGCTACCGCAACACCCTTTTCTCTAAGTAAGGCAGCCTTGTCCCTGCCTGTGACCCCTTCCTCGAATCTGTCCGCCGGGAGGTTCTTCTTCACAGCCTCAAACATCACCTGCTCGCTCTTGCTTTAGGAAACAGGACGTTCATGTTCCTGCTGCTAACTCACATCTCCATCCAAAAGGTCGATGCTCCTTCCAGCATACATACTAAATGAATTGCCAAGTATTTTCTACTGGATTATCTCCATACTTGCAAGGAAAAACTCAAAGTCTTCAATGTCCCCTCATTAATCACCTTCACTTATTTCTTCCGGGATGCCTACAAACCACCCGCACTCATTTCATGGGAGTACTGATACTACTCTGACACCAAACAACGTTATTTCTGTTCTACCTTCTCCACCACCGTACCTAACGATATCACTCCACCTAAATATATTCCATCAAAGCTCTTCGGAGCAAGAAGCACCTTCCCTTACATCTGTATATCACCCATCACAGCTGGATTCTGGTTTACAACTAGTCTCCCCACGCTACAGTACAAAATTTGCAGTAATTCAGAATAACGTTGCAAGGTTCAAGGGCAAAACTTCATATCTTACATGTTCATTTCTCAGTATTACCTGTATCGGTCCTTCAGGAAAGATTTTTTTCCCAGTTTGTTAACTGGGTCTTGCACTACCGAAAAAAGTTCTTTGTGCCAAAGAGTCCCAAAGTACTTTACTAACTTAAAATGCAATTTTAACAGGGGTCACCTAATCCTCAGCTGAAATCCAGCCAACTCCTCAGTGAAATACGTCAAGCCTTTTATGAAGCAGATAATTATAACAATAAACACACATTAACCAAATGCAATAGAAGGCAAATTTAGATCAGCAGAAATTTGTTCAAGACATTGGGATTAACATTGTTTCTTTTCAAATCAGGATTGTCAAACACTAAAATGAACACGTTTTTTCACCGTGGTCATTTCAAGTTTACAAAGGAGGGTAAAAAAAATCATCTTTATCTTGCGCAATGAAAGTCAAAGAACTTTATCAAGCGGTTTCTTTATCTTTGATTTGAAGAAACAAGGACTGTGCCTTGCTTGCAGGAAAGAAAAAATGTATTATCAGGATATTGTTTCAGTTAAGATAGTAGAGGAATGAGTAAAGAGTGAAAAACATCAGAGAGTTCAGTGCGGGAAGATTTAAGGCATCACTTACGCTGACACGTTCCTCCATTAGTAGGATCACCGTAGTAGCCCGAGATACAAGTTTCACAGTGTTTGCCAGTTGTCAGATTTTCACACTTCTCACAGATGCTCTCATTTACACACTTACTGTGCCCATTACACTGGCAGGCTGAAGAAAACAGAAAAGGATAAATATTTGTGATCAAATATAGTGCTTTACACAGAGCCTCAGAAGTCTGTGTTCCAAATGTTTCTGAATGAAACCATTTCATGCACCTTCCAAAGAGGTTCCTGCTGCCTTGCTAGCGATACACAAACTCAGAGAAGCGTGTATTGAAAACCTGAAATTTAAAGCAACACGTGGGAAACTGAACTCCAAAACATTGCGTGCATATTGGACGGACAGTACTAGAAGCAGCTGGTGGGATGGATTTAAAGGAGGAATGGGGAAGAAAGGATTTAGCAGCAGTCCAAGTAATTTTATTCTATATGTTTGGTGCCAAAAACATAATTTCAGAATCATCCTCAGCATTACTAATAGTTAAATCAACCTCCAAAAAAAAGAATTGCCTTTCTTTCAAACAAACCTAAAATGAATAAATAAAGTTAAAAATTCAGTAAACATTTGTAGGAATAGGGAAAGGAAAAATTTCACTAGAGAAGCGCACAGGTAAGTCTTCTCTGCAGCTCACCTTCAGATACCTGCACAACTCCCTCCATCTCAAAATTATTTCTGGTTAGTCTTCCAAGCTCCTTTCCTCCCTCCATTAACAGGAGGGAACACAGACATCACTACAGCCTTCAAAAGTCTCTCCCCTTGCATTTAACCGTTGCTACCGTTCAAATGTTTGAACGATTAAACTTTGCTCATTTACCTGGACACTGGATAAAGGACCAATTATAGCTGTTCTCCACAGGACACATGCTGACATTAAGGACAGGCTCCAAGCTGTGTTTCCCTGTTGCGGTTGGGGTTGGCATCTTGACCGGACCTCTGTAGGAGCCTTCGATGCACTTCCCCTTGCCGGTGTTGCTCGGATCGGTGCACCAGCCGCACCCGGGCTGCTCCAAACAATGAGCACATGTGCAGTAGCCTGAACAGTTTTCAGCTATTAAAAAAAAAAAAACAAACCAAAACCCACAAAACATCAAATTACGGGATAAATCGTTGTTGCCTGTGTTTTGGGACAGTGAATGCGGAAACCCTTGTATGTCTTTTGTGACCTTAAGTATTTATCTGGCCAAATCTGTCAATATTTATTCTGATATTCAGTCATACATATATAGATATTCATTCCTATCAGCATATTTATTCTAGAATCTAAGATAACTATTAACAAAGGTTGCATTAATCAGTGAGTTACAAAACAATGCACTACACACGTAAGGTTTTTCTAACCAGTAAATACCACCTACTAAAAGCAGAGGGTAATGTTCCCAACTACAAAAGATCTCCAATTGATTTACAAAGGATCAGATGATAAAATGAGCCATCCAGAAGCGAAAGCTAAAAACAGTTTGTTTACTGGCTTTGAGTCTCTCCTTACCACACATTTTAATATCACATGCTGCTATTTCAAGTACTTATCCAAGTCAAAAAGCATAGAACAGAAGTACAGAATAAAATTTGTCATCTTAGGATGCTCAAAGCACCACATGCAGATCCCCAGGGCCCAGTAATCAACTAAATCAGGGAAGAACCATTGCCATTCTTTAACCATTCCTTTCTCAAATAAGATTGTATTTCAGGGGTTACAAACTCTTTACATATAGAAAAGTTTTTCTGTTCCTTTCCCCATACCATCTTAAAAAATATTTGGCAGATTCTTGGTGTTCTAAGATGAGCAGGCTTTCTATCCTGATGTTTAAATTTACAATATTTGCCTTTTAAAAAAAAAAGTAATAAAAGAAAAACATTGTTTTCCATTATTTCAGCTTATGCATCTCCCGCCTGATGCTTCCTCCGATTTTTGACTTCCGACAATACGGGAAGTTCACACTCCCACGTTTCAGTTACCTGAAATTAATTTCCTCTAATTTCTAGTTTGCAACAACGAGTTACCCAGCTTACTCTCATCAGCTTCCAAAAGTTCCTGGAGCAACTGCAGCAACTCACAGTACCTAACTTCCCTCCTGGGGAATGTGGGTGCTCCTCTTCCTCTGCTACCCCAAGAGCTCTGGCTTTCCTGACTCCCCTGCCCACACTTAGCTCCTACAGAATTCAACATAAATAAAAAGAATTTCTAAAACTGTTCAACCACTTTTTAAATGTCTAGACTATTTCCCCACAGTTTGAAAACAGAAAGCAATATTCCAAAGCACCATAAATCTTTAGCAGTTTGCTCTAACTAAAGAGCAAAAAAGTCTATCTAAGAGGGGGGGGGAAAGAAATTATTTATTTAAAATAAGGTAGAAATTCCTACTGTGGGCTATACATAGGCAATACTTCAGAATAAAACAGTTGTGTGAACCGTAATTGGGAGAGGATACGGGTAATCTCACATTTAATTACACGGCTCCAAATGTGAATAAAAGTAGTTAATCACATGAAATTTTGGACAATCCCTGGACCATATGACCCATGTGCAGAGTTTGCTGACTTTTGCTAGCAAATGTCAGCAAACACAAGACTCCGGCCCACCGGTTGAGACGCAGAAGCAATTACTCACGTGGACAACTACTCATGGTGTACCACTCCATGCACTGCCCGTAGGGGAAAGAGGCCACGTAAGCGTTCGAGTCCACGCACTGCTTCATGTTGCTGCACCACATGCATTCGGAGCTGCCGCTCGTGCACTCCCCGCACATCGTCCGCAGGGCGCAGGGCGTGCGGCACTGCTTGGCGCTGTGGTTAGCTGCGGGCAGGAGGACAGGAGTCAGCTTTCCTCCAGAAACATACAGAGAATGAGCCCAGAGATAGAAAGACAGAAGATAACATGCCCTGTCTACTGTTCAGGCTGAAAAATAGTTGGATATCACGGACTTGAAAGACTTCATCCGTGGTGTGGCGTTGCTGGATGGAGCTGGAGATACCTTATACCACGGTGAGAAACGCAGCAAGTACTGCAAAATCATTTCTCTTATTACATATCCTCCGTGAGCGTTAATGCTTTTAAATTGTTTCCTGTCCGCTTAAAATGGTGTAATGAATGCGCTCTTTGTCTCTCCGCAGGTCTGTTGAGGTGTTCCTTAGCTATTCTCCCAACCCAAGTGTTGGGAAGAAACTCCCCATTTTACGTGAGCAGACCGGGACGTGTTTTAAGTCATTTGATCAATTCCACACATAAAATGAGTACTGAAAGCAGAACTAACCCAGGAGTTTCTGGTGTGAGCCAACGCTTTATCATCTGTTTCAAGTGGCTGTTCTCAGACCAAAAAACCCAAGTTAAACCAGTTCAAAGTGCTGCAAGTTAAAATATACAGAATTTTGAGTTCAGGTTCCACATTCACGATCTGCATCCTGCACTTCCACAAAGAATGATTTCAACTGGTGTAGCTCACTTTGAAATTTTATGTCATCAGCCAACTTTCTTAAAACTTAAAAAGGCACTAATTGGTATTCAGAAATAATCAGCTATAATGGAGAGTTAACAGACCGAGCCACTTTAAAAGATATGCAGTTCCAACAAAGCTAGGAGACTTTTCCCAAAAGCAAACAGCTTCTTTTTCAAAGTTCTCATATCTCCAAAGTGTCTCGCCTAATTAATTTCAAACTTTGATAAAATCCTCCTCTGGCTACGGAGCAGGGAAGGGGAGAAAGGGAAGTTCAATTGGAAAGTAGCTTTATTTTATTTTTTTTTTTTTAAACAGGAGATTGCTCCGTACCATAATTAACCTAAATGTCACATTCAGGTATGCAATTTAGAGAAAAATAATTAAACTATAATGTACTTCAAGTATTTTACAGTTAACAGTGTAAGTGCAGAGCTGTTTTTAAAATCTCCAATTCAGCTGTGAAATACCTACACAAGACACTTTTGCAGAAGTACTTTTCTTTGGGAAAGTCACGATGCAGCTGGTTTTAACTGTAAGGAATGGGATCCTCTTTACCCCCCAGGAAATATAAAAACTTATAAGTTCACCCACTCCCCCACGAGACTCACAGGTCAGGAATTGTTACCTGGCCTTTCGCAGACGCTGCCGTTGACTTCATTGATACACGTTGCCGCCTTCAGTCCCTGCTGGAAAGGTTCGGCTAAATAACCACAAAATCCAGCGTCGCTGGGTTCGTCGGGGAGCCACTGGAGCAGGGTGTTGGTGAAGGGAGACATGTCTTCCCAGCACCAATACGACACGTTGATTTTCCTCAGTCCAACCCACGGAGTTAAAGTTTTGGGCTAGAAATAAAGGAAAATGGTTGATTTAATAGCCAGTTTTATTACCTTAGGTATTAAAAGAAAATACACATCACCACGTAATTCTCATAACAACTTTGCCAGGTTAGGTGTTGCAAAAATGTAGTAAGGGAAATATTTGTTTCGCAGTGCTATCGGAACTAAATGCCACAGAGATAGAGAAATCCTTCAGGAAACACCAATTTTTTATTATTTTTTTTAATTTCAAACTGCATTTCTAGTTATCTAAACCAGGAGGAGAACAAGTCAAACATTCACACTGGCTGACTATGAAATTAACTGCAAATTGCTCTTTATATGTTTGTGACTCCTGTAAATGGCTAGACACAGGAAAAAGAAGTTCTGGAGCTAGAGTTTGACATAAGCAATGAAGAAAACCAGCAGTCCCCTACACAATTTAAATGATACCATCTACCTACTCCACAGTCTGGCTGGAAGACCGCTGCTGTTTAAGAGCCTGTATAGATGGAGGGGTGGACAGACAGAGCAGGTCAAATCTAAATTAGTATTGTCGGCAATAAAATTCTCAATATGAAGAAGCCATAGCACAACTATTTCTACTGGCAAATTATTTTTTGGCACACATTTGTTTTAGGGAGAGGCACTTTAACTGTGTTGGCACAATATGGTATTTTACTGTTAAAAATCTTCTTTTCCATCAAAGCGCTTTGGTGGCACAGCTGTCCTAGGAAAGCTTTAGACCGTACGTCTTCCCTGGCTGCCGTATATAACCAACACCTACTTCAAACTGATTTTACACACTTTAGAGCTGCAACTTCTAACAGCAACAGGATTTCATAGCACTATGTGTAACGGTTTCTTATTCCTACAAAGCATCTATACACAGCTTGCTTAAAAAAGGAGTAACTGCAGAGTAGAGCCTCCCAAGCACAGTAGAGGCGTGGCATTGAACAGCAAAAATCCAGGTACCAAATAGAGGTTTGGCTTTTTACAAAGGCACTTTCCCACATTATGAGCACTCAATACTAATATTAATCAAGGCTCACTTTTTAAAGGATACTGTAGACAAAAAAAACCCCATAAAATAACCATTTTTGTCCTCCCCAGCGTAAGGGTTCAAACACTACTAGGGAAGGGTGGCCATGTGTCCTTGGGAATTTACACTACACTTAACCGCTGGGATATCCAGAAACACCTGGAGCTTCTCGAACCACATACTTTTACAATATCCTGGGCTCAGCTTCCTCTCTTTACAAAAGATTTAACAAACACCCTCGTCTGAATTGCACCTTGCCTTTTCTTGGCTGAACTGAATCCCCTCTAAAACCCCACAATTGTTGAAATGCCACTTTAAAATTACAAAGGGAATCAAAGCAGGGAACGTTCTCATTTCAACAGGGGAATATTTCTCTGCAGTATTGAAGTACGCTCTCCTCTAGCAATCCTCCTGCCTCCAGTCTCATTTTTCCTAGATAAACCCCTTCCTGATTGCCAGCCCTGCCCACCGTGGCCTCTGGGACCCAAGAGGAGTAACTCTGATGTGCCGTCAAGCCACAGCACCTCTGCAGCCGAAACCAGGATTTCAGCAAAGCCGCACAACATCGTTCTTTGTTAGGGCTTTAGCACCACCTACACAACCTGCTCTGAATACCTCCACATTTCTGCCAGGGACTGGGAAAAAAAAAATTAAAATATTTATTTTATTGATGCATGAAGAGGGACAGATTCCAATTCACTTCTCACTGGCTCTGACAGAAAAGCACCTGCCACTAAATCAAACATAAATAACTCCAAATAAGCCAAGCAGCTCTGCGGAGTAAGAAGCCGACATTTTAAACAGCTGCTTTTCTGAGTGGAATAAATAACTTTAAATGCTTTACATTAAACACCTCCGGTGCCCCAAAGGGACCTCTATTTATAAAATATTGTGTACAAGTCACGAGAGGACTCCTGCTGCAGTCATGTATCCCACAAGAGAAATGCGCGTGTGATTTCATTATAGAAAGCGATACCTTTGAGGCATCGTGTATGTTTGTATTTATCTTTCCCATTTACATTCTCTACAATTTTACTTCAAAAGCACCCATAGGGTATGTTGAATTTCAAAAGAAAAATCAGTCCTTTTCAGTTAAGAGGCATGTCTATTCTGTACACAGCATACAATACCACAGCAGGGACTTTTCCACAGTCAGACCTTAATTACTCAGGGGACATAAAAGAGAAGCACTCACCGAAGACTGCATCTTCTGCAGCTCCTTTAGAACAAATTCTACCTTTTTCTGGGTCGTGAGGGAAGCCAGCAAAGCACCGCTGGATCTGCAGGACAGTTTGGCATGATCATAGTTCTCCTTCGCATTTGTAATTTTCAAGCAGGAGTTGCCAACCAAATGCCAGTTTGTTCCACAGATATTTTCTGGGGAAGAGGAGGAAAGAAAATAAAACCAGAGATGCAAGTGACCTTCCCAACGTTCAAAGTACTGAAAGAGCTCAGCCCCATCCAAAACCAGCATGACTTATCGGCATGCTCAGATGTAGCTATGTATAGCAACACCAGAGGAAAAGGAAAGCTGTTTGGTGGAGCAGAAGAGCAACGTTACCATCTAGATATCTGC